CTCCTTGGATCTGTTCATTATGCATCTGCTGATGCACGATAAAGTGCCATTAGCTTTTCTGATGGCTTCATCACACTGCCGACTCATGTTCATCTTGGAGTCCACTAGGACTCCAAGATCCCTTTCCACTTCCGTTCCACCAAGCAGGTCATTTCCTAGGCAGTAGGTATGCTGGACATTTTTCCTCCCTAGATGCAGCACTTTGCATTTCTCCTTGTTGAACTGCATTCTGTTGTTTTCCGCCCATATGTCCAACCTGTCCAGGTCTGCTTGTAGTTGTTCCCTGCCCTCCGGTGTGTCCACTTCTCCCCACAGTTTTGTGTCATCCGCAAACTTGGACAGAGTACACTTCACTCCCTCGTCCAAGTCACTGATGAAGATATTGAAGAGTTTTGGTCCAAGGACTGAGCCCTGCGGGACCCCACTGCCCACACCCTTCCAGGTCAATACCGACCCATCCACTATGACTCTCTGGGTGTGACCCTCTAGCCAATTCGCCACCCACCGGACTGTGTAGTCATCCATGTCACAGCCTCTTAACTTGTTTACCAGTGAATGAGTTTTAGTTCAAAGCACCCCACCGCCATTTTCCAGCATGGGGATGCTGATACATGTGATGCAGGAGGCTGCTGGAATGCGGTAAGTTCCATGCTCCAGCGGATTTAATTAATCGAGTCTGCTCTGATGTGCTGGATTTCCAGCACTTTGGAGCTGGCTCCCTGCACATCTATAAGAGCCCTTAGAAAACATTGCTCTGCACTACATTAGTGTGTTCTTTAATTTTGAAAATATGTTCCCAACGGGTAAAAAAACCTCAAGCTTCCTTAAAATTGTATCATGGCAAATACCACATTCTGTCTTCTCTTTTCACCATACTTAGAGAGCTGTAAAAGTAAAATACAATGCAGTAGCATGAATCATTTTAGTTTGGTTTGATGATAAACCCCATTAAAATGGGTACCTTCCCACTCTGACCTGTTATCTGTTGTCTCACTAGAAAGGACCTGTATGTGCTTACCGCAGGAAGTGACATAACAAAGTCATGAAGATGTGCCTTCTTTGCCGCTTCTGTAACTTTCTCCATCGTGATCTTCTTGGTATTATTGCCATATTTAATATTATCAGCGATACTGCAGTCAAACAACACAGGCTCCTGGGATACTATTCCAATTTTAGATCTAAGAAATTGTATATTTACTTTCTTGGTGTCATGTCCATCTATTAACTGGCAGTTAAAAAAAATTGCAATACATTAATTTAGAACTAAAACCAACAAAGAATATATCGCTTCTACTAATATAAAATTATCACATGTGCCCAGATCCTCAGAAGTCTTGCCTACTTCAACAGCTGTCCCAGAGTCAATGTGCACCTTGAGCACCCAGATCCTAAGGTACACTACAAGCTTATCCCCAAGACTCTCTCAAGCTTTCAATCTCTGGTGTACCTGAGAGCAGCCACTGGGAATGAGACTGGAGCTGCCTCACTGGAGAATTTCCAGGTCTGAATGCAACAGTGAACTCAGGTAAGTAGGGCATGCTCAGCCCCATCCTTCCTGGTACCAGACACTACAGCAATACAGACAAGGCCAAAAGGACTTAGGGTCCAGTCCTAACTTACCCCAAGGGTGCCTCCATTTAGGCACCTCAGTGCCTAAAATGTGTAATACAAATAGGTGCCTACATGCCCTATATAGTAAATGGGCATCCTAAATGCCACCCAAGAGCCATCCAGATCATCCAGTCACTCAGAAGAGAGACACTTATAGCCAGTTAATAACTACTGGGCTGTGTCTGAAGTCCTACTTCTCCATAGAACTTAGATCTCAGACTGAATGCTGCAAGAGAGGCACTTCTATCAAGTTGAGATTCAGATTTTGCAGATGGGAGATGCCTGGTTGAAGGAGAATTGAGTTTAATATAAGCATAGCATACCCATCCACTTCACTCGTGAACATGCTGGTCTTTCACCTGGCACCTAAGTGGTAAGAATACTTGTCTAGGAAAATCAGAGACCTGAATTCTAGGTCCACCTCAATCAGAAAGGATTCAGGTTCCTATCTCCCACTTCCCAGGTGAATGTTTTTATAGTGGCGTAAGCTGGCTTCTAAGGAGCAAAGAGTGAGGGCCAGTGAACACCCAGTGAGGCTGCTTGGGACTTAATCTCAGTGTCTCAGGACTTTTTCTCCTTGGCTGTCTCCAGAGATCTATATAACTAGGTGTATTTTTGGAGAAAGAGGGTGTGGTGATAAAAATAAAAAAGGGAAGATACTGCTCTTTGTGTGCCTGGATTTCTGTACCTTGATATATTAATTCCTCTGGATCCTCACTGAACAACAAACAGATCCAGCCTGAGTTCACCTAAATTAGATCACTTAAAAATGTTAGACTGTAAATCTGAGGTAAGATATGGATGCTGTGAAAATCCATTGAGGTGATCCCCAAATGTGTTTTAGTGACTCTTTATCAAAAGGTTGATTTTGAAAATTTTAAGCACTTTTGAGCTATTGTCAAAGGACACTTACCACATTTCCTTTCTCAGGATCATAGAAACGCTCCAGAAGCTGGACACAGGTACTTTTGCCACATCCACTACTTCCAACCAATGCAAGTGTCTGGCCTGGTTTAACTGTCACCGAGAGGTCATTCAAAACTTGTGTGTCAGGCCGAGAAGGATATGTGAATTTACAGTTGAGAAATGTAATGCTTCCCTTGAAATCATTCTGATGAAAAAGTGAAATAAGACAGATTGAGCTCAAAACTGAATTTTAAAGGATGAAATCACATTTGATAAGGAGTGTGTGTCAGAGCACAGGGTGTCTCTGCCACTTTAAGGGCCTGGAGCTGGCAGCCTCCAGGTACCTAATTAGGGCAGCCATTTTGAGGCCTAGGCTGCCTATATAAACAAGGCAGTTTGACTGCTGGAGGCTAGGCAACAACATTGCCTGGCTGAAGGGCTGCTGTGGATAACCTGGAGGTAAGGGGGAGCTGCAAGGGGTTGGCAGGAGGCTCCTGATCCTGGGCATGACCTGAAACTGCACCCTGCTGGGAGTGGGTGGTCTGGTGGGGCTCTCAGTGGCGCGGGAGCCCCCAGGAAATGCCAGGCCAGTGATCACCCCGGTGAAAGACGGGTTGGGGCGCCTTAACCCCTAGCTCCCTCCACCGGGTGGGTAACCCTATGTTGGAGGGGCCCAGAGGGTTGACCCTGAGAGAGTGTATGGAGTACAGGGCGTGGTGCTGCGGTTGCCCCTGAGAGGATGGGGAGTAGTGGCATGGTGAGGCCCGAGGATGAGAGAGGGGCTAGAGACCCAGCCCGAAGGGGATAGTACCCTCGACTGGCCCATGCTGGGGCCAGGACCAGAGAGGGTCAAAAGGGCTGGGGGCCCACCACGAGGGACGCCCAAGAGCCAGGGGCCTGGGGTCCCGACTGGCCTTGAGGTGGGCCAGGGC